CCTAAGAAGTCCCTATTTAGTTAACAATTTTTAAATGATTTATGAGAAGCAGGTATTAACACAATGCATTATATTTGAAAAATCAAAGACTCTGGAGTAATTACCCAGACAATACGTATTACACATATAAATCCAATTTTAACACCATTTTGATCAACTGGCAAACTGGAAACATCTCTTTAATTTTGATGACATCTATAAACTAGTTCGTTATAGACAAATGTTTTAAAAATCCAAAAAGGCCAAAAAAGATACTGTTGAGTTCAAATAAAACAGCAGCTTAGATAGTCAAATACACACAAGACAATTTATTTATAAAAATAAAAGTGCACTCAGATACATTTGGCCATTTTAAATTATAATAACTTTTACAACTTTAAAGTTTGTAACTATAAGTAGTCAGAAGTTTTTGTAGATCATGTAACAGAGATCTCTTATAATAAAAATCAGAATAGAAACCCTTTATTCATAACATATATAATAATATATATATTTTAAAGAATTTTGGCAACTTGCTGTCCTTGTTTTGGGGCAAAATTGTAATCCATTTTGGGTACGAAGTCGGATAAGGTATTGCTTATAGAACAGGTACCTAGTCAGCAGGGGACCCTACAGGAGAGGAGAGCAGATATAACAACCATTGGAAGCACTGGGGGTGGAAAAGTGGGTGTAGCAAATAAAGTCCCTGAAGGGGGAGACAAGGATTTGAGAGGATCACATGAGGTATGCAAAGTAGAAATATTAGGGAAGGTAAAGAATTTCTGTACATAGAGAACATTTTTTAGCATTTGGCAGTAGCTGTCTAATTCTTGCAGAATGGAGGGACTCAAAGGTCCCATTCTTTGGCCACCAAATGTTACACAGAGATTAGATGTTTAGGCTTCAGAACATTTTAGAGGTGGGCTAAGGGAAAGAGAAGAATTCCCCATCAGGAGCAGAGAAAGGTAATTGCCACACCTAGTGTGGCAAAACAAGGGTGGCAGGAGGACCTATACTGAATATGTTCAGTTGAACAGTCAAGGATGTTAGGAACTTGGGTGAATGGGCAAGTAGGTCATCACCTCAACTGACCAATTGGCAAGAGGATCCAGTCTCTCTGGGAAGCATCCATCCATGACTAGTACTAGGTTTACAGGCACAGAGGAGTGAGCCTTTCTCTGTTCCAAGAGGTGAGAGAAGAGACCTAGGGAGCAGTTGACAGCAGAGAGGAAGGAGGTTTGGCACAGAGGTTAAACATTTAGAGCTAAAAGTGGCAGGTGTGGCTAAAGCTGTGATTGTGACTATGGCAGGGAACAATCATGTGTATTTGGGGGTGGGTAATAAGGTACAGAGTGTTAGAAGCTGGAAAAGTGGAGTGAGCATACCTAATCTGAATCAGTATGCATGGCAGGAGCTGGGGAGCTGCCTGAAGCACCGGGCAAGGTCTGGAATCATTGTGACCAGGTAGCTTCAGTGGAAAAGGCTCAAGATAGGAAGTACCTTCCCAAAAGGAATTTCCTATCACCATCCAAGTCACAGTACTATTTGTTAGGTGAATGACAGAGTGAGACAACACCCAGAGACTTAGGCTGTAGGAAAGATCAGATTTTATTCATCCCACCTAAGGGGCAGACTGACATCAAAGTGATAGCAGCAGCTATGTGGAGGAAAGCTGGTTTTATATAAGATTTTTTGGATTGGGGTCAAGACTTCAAAGAGCCCCAAAGAACATGGATGGAATCTTTGAAGTTAACATTGCAGAAGCAATCAGTCCTGATGTGCAGAGATAAAACTGGTACTAGGAAGATTTTTAAATCTGGTCCTAAGTATCTTTATTCCTCTTAATCCTTGTCTGCCAAGCCATTGTCTGTATTGGGGAATTTATTGTATGTAGTGGGTAGCCCAGGTTTCTCACAGGCCAGTCCTAACAGAGATGACTGATGGAAACAGAATAAAAAACCCTTCTTACCAAATTTAAAGATTATCAGATATTTAAAAAGAGCAGCTCTCAATCTGAGTTATATAGTCCATTGTCACGTATATTGTGATTTGAGGCAAATGGACCACTCCACTCCATCTCTTTACAGTCAGCTTTGAATGAATCCTTTCCCCCCAAAAATGACCTCCTTTGATTTGGCAGTGAACACACAAACCTGAACACAGTAAACTGAGTGACTAGTAAAATTTTTGCTTTACCTAGTCAGGAGGCAAACCCAGGCTCCAGATCGCAGAATAGGCAGGATTATACTATGTAGAAGTGTGTGTCTTTTATAGTAATGAACACAGATGATGGGAGGGGGGCAGAAGATGTTGATGCACCAATGTATATCCACTTCCACATCCCTCAGATCATTCTTCTATAGTGGGAACAAAACTTGACTCTGGAACCTAGAGTATGTACATACTCTGTCACTTGTTTGGGGCTGACAAGAGGTAGATGGTTATGTGCTCAGGAGGAAGAAGTTAGAAGCTCCTCATCACTAGAGGAAAAAACTCTTTTAAAGTTTCAAGTTACACTGTCAGTTACATATGCAGAGCCTTGACATTTTCTGTCAGATGTGCTGTGAGTAAAAACAGTTCACTTCTCACCAGATGACAAAAGAATGACTCATGAGTCATAAGCCTGAGAAAAACAAAATAAGGATAGGCGTGAGCTGAATTGCATAAAAATGCATCAGCAAAGAGTACTGAGGAATTTATTAAGGCACATAGTATTGACCCCATTCATTTTCTTGTCAAGAAAATAGTCCTATAATATTTTTCTATAGAATACTTACTTCTGAGGGCTTTATAACGATGCCTTAATAATCAAAGCATATATTGCATTGTATTCACTTCCCACTAAGATGGACAACAATCTATTCAAGGCTCTGCAGAGTTGCTCATTAGAAAAACCCTTTGAATAATCAGAGGCTGCAATGGTTCTTTTCACTCAACCATGTTATCATTTTGAATACTGGATACACTTATGTGATATGAAATATTTATTTTAAATAAATGAAAGTAAAACACACCAAAAGATTGGAGCCTACTGTCATGTAATCCACTAAAAATAATCCAGAAAATGTACACTGACCACCACTGAGATTTCAATCTCCATTACTGTGGAAAGTCAAGGTTAATTGTAGACATCCTTTTCCTGTGGGTTTCCAACTGGCTCTAGAGACTTCAAATTATTAACCCAAATTTTTTAATTGCGAGAGTTAGTATGTTCTCTAAAATCCCTATGTTGGAAACTGAATATCTAATGACCATAATTGAGTTACAGGAACACTAAAATGTGAAGAGTACATGAGTGTTTTTTCCTGATGAGTAGAACGACGGTATCAATGTGAGAATGGATGGTTTACGATTAGTATCAGCACAACTTTCCCTTTTTCTTTTCATCTCACATATGGTTAAATGGCCTTCAACAAGGTATATAGTAGGAAAAACGTTTTTGTGCCATGCTTTTGGAATTTCCAACCTGAAAATGTTTAGAAAATATATTTTAAAAATTTAAGTTACTTAATGTGTGATTCTGTGATAGAGGATGAATAGTAGGCAAGAGCACTCATTATGTTGATTGGAATTAGAAAGCAAGAAAGCTAAGAAAGCAGCACCTTGGGAGAAGGAACTTGAGAGCATGCTACAGTTGAATGCACAGAAATTCAACTTTTGAAAGGATAATGAAGAATTATACAAACCAGCAAGAGTAAATAGCCAACTATAGGGATCAAGTACTATACTATAATATACACATACATTTTAACTTCTGTCCAGTAAACCCTCTTATAAAAACTTCAGACATTTAAAAATTTCTCTAGTTTAATGTGCTTTATCAGTAAAACCAGAGTCAATCAAAACTGTACCCCAAAATTCTAAACAAAGATTCAAAAATCTAAAATGCATATAAAGACCTACATATTGGAATCACTCATCCTAAAAACAACTTTTAGCAAATTGTAATTCTGTGTGGCACAGGATTATCCATAGTAATCACTACGAGATCTATGTCACCTTTTTGCACTCTACAAGAGAAACATTGGACTTTCTCATTAACATCTCCCAACTTCACCACCTCCATTATTGGCAACCATCACTATCCTCTCTGCTTCTTTAAAATTCTTAATTTTAGATGCTAAAAACAAATATGATCAAATTTGTTTATACCTTCCATGTTTCACTTAATGACTTCTTGCTTAATTTACATTGTCACAAATGAGGGATTTCTTGCTTTACGTGTCAAAAAAATTTCAGCATATGAATAAATTTTACTTTATCCATTTAATTAAGGCCATGGCATGCCTGTAAAATGTTCCTTTAAGGCCAGGTAGTGAAGATTGGGAAGCAAGGTGCTTTGTCATTCTGAGTTTAATATTATGACACATTTTCTGATCTCATCAGTATATTAACACACAGATATAGTACAGGAAGAATGTCCCTGGGTGTGTGATTTAAAACAGTGTATCTCATTACTAACACACATCTCTGATTCTTGGCTTTCTCACATTTTGTATTTTACTAAATTTTGAGTTTGTGTATATTCTGACATTATGAGAATTATAAAATGCTTTTTCACATTATTTACATAGGCTTTCACTATAGGGGGAGTTCTGCTCATCAAGGTAAGTGGAAAAATTGAAGCATTTCCCTCATTTATAGCATTTATATATATATATATATATATATATATATATATAATTTACTTCTCATGTGAAGACTATTATGTACTTGAATGCATCAAGAAAAATAAAATGTTTCCCAAATTGTTTATTATGTTCAGATTCTCTCTTGTAAGAATTTCTTAAGTTGTAATGGTACAGTGTGCTGAAAGAGATTTTATATTGCATACAAAAAAAAAGCTTCTCTGCACTGTCCTTTCATGTCATTGCAGGTTACTTTATACATACAAAATGGATTACCTAATTTTTTAATGTCTTTGTTGATTACTAAAGGCTTTTCCATATTGTTTATACACATAGTGTCTAACCTATGTGATTCTTTTCATGTACCTGACAACCACTGTGTGTGCTGAAAGCTTTCCCACATTGCTTACATACATAGGGCTTCTCACCAGTATGTGTTCTTTCATGTATTCGACAATGAGTGTGTTGACTGAAAGCTTTCCCACATTGCTTACATACATAGGGTTTCTCCCCAGTGTGAGTTCTTTCATGTTTTTGACAATCACCTTGTGTGCTGAAAGCTTTCCCACACTGTTTACATACATAGGGTTTTTCACCAGTGTGAATTCTTTCATGTGTTCGACAATGACTGTTTGTGCTGAAAGCTTTTCCACATTGCTCACATACATAGGGTTTCTCACCAGTGTGAGTTCGTTTATGTCTTTCACAAGAACAGTGAGAAGTGAAAGCTTTCCCACATTGCTTACATACATACGGTTTCTCCCCAGTGTGAGTTCTTTCATGTTTTTGACAATCACCACGTGTGCTGAAAGCTTTCCCACATTGCTTACATACATAGGGTTTTTCACCAGTGTGAGTTCGTTCATGAATTTGACAATGACTGTGTTGACTGAAAGCTTTCCCACATTGCATACATACATAGGGTTTCTCCCCAGTGTGAATTCTTTCATGTGTTCGACAATGACTATTTGTGCTGAAAGCTTTCCCACACTGCTTACATACATAGGGCTTCTCCCCAGTGTGTGTTCGTTTATGTCTTTCACAAGAACAGTGAGAAGTGAAAGCCTTCCCACATTGCTTACATACATAGGGTTTCTCCCCAGTGTGAGTTCTTTCATGTTTCTGACAATCACTACGTGCGTTGAAAGCTTTCCCACATTGCTTACATACATAGGGTTTTTCACCACTGTGAGCTCGTTCATGAATTTGATAATAACTGTATTGGCTGAAAGCTTTCCCACACTGTTTACACACATAGGATTTTTCCCCAATGTGGGTACTTACATGATTATCAAATGAAGTGCTACCTGTGAGAGATTTCCCACAGTGTTTATATAAGTTGGCTTTTTCTCTGTGAGCTCTTTCATGTTTCTGAATATCACTGTGAGAAGTAAAACCTTTCCCACATTGTACACATATATATGTATTCACTGTGCTGTTATTTCTTTCCTGGATTTGAACATAGCTGAGTGCATGGAAAGCTTTCATATCCTTCCTATATAAAAGGGGCTTCTCTTCAAGCCTAGTTTCTTCAGTCCAATCAGAGTAGGATTTTTCGTTTTCTTTACATTCATATGGTTTCATTCCAGGATTTGCCTTTGTATTCTTCTGAAATGACTGAAAGTCAGTGCAGGCTTTCCCATTTCTGTTACAGTTAGACAGCTTCTGTTCAAATCTATGATACTCATATGAATTGAGCCCAGGGTTATCTATGATGGGCACAGTTGGTGATGAATGACCAATCAGAAGCTTTCCACAAGCAAGGCTTTCACCTGGTTTTGCACTGAGCAGTTTCAAATGCACATTAGTATCAGAAGTCATAAAATCCATTTCTCTGTGTTGATCAAATAATTTATATTGATGGCATTTTTTTACCTCTTCATTTCTGTCAAAGAAAAAACCATCAAAACAACCAATCACAATGAAATGTATCTTTATATTAACAGTTTACCAGAATGAGGTCTATTTTGATTCCCCCTAGGAATATGTTTTGAATTTACTGTATACTCTAGGTGATGGCTTGTAAATAGCTTTTGACAAAATGATTCCTTTGAGAGTTTATAACTGACATGTTTGTAATACATAATACTTTCGTTTTGAGGAATTGGTACATATGTATGATACACTGATTAGTTTTCATACCCTTTTCCTCATGACTCTATCCCTGCCCCTTCCACAGAGGCTTTTCATTTTCTCCAAAATGTCTGCCTCTCTTTTCTACCATCTCTATTTTGGCCCTTATTCATACTTTGCATTTCTCATATAAAATATAACATGTGATGTTGAATTTTATGTGTCTCTCTTATTTAATGTAACATGGATTTCAGAACCATCCATTTTTTTGGAAAATGATATCATAGCATTTTCCTTTATGGTTGACTACTATTTCATTATATATACATATCACATCATTTTCAGTGCTATAGACTGAACCCAGGGTTTTTGTGCTCAGCTACATTCTCAATTATATATCTTTTATTATGAGACAGAGTTTTATTAATCATTAAGTTGCCCAGGTGGAGCATGAATTTTTGATGTTCATGTTTTAGCTTCCCAACATGCTAGGAATCCATGTATGTACCATCCTGCCCAGGCTATCCCATTTTTTTTCTTTTTGCTTATCTGTGAATGGGATCTATGTTGTTTACAGATCTTTACTTTTGTAAGTAGATATATATATATGTGTGTCAATCTAATATGATTACTTTAACTTTTGGGGAATAAACCCTGTAGAAGTACACATGGATAAAATGGAATTTCTATTTTTACTTTTTTGAGGAATCTCAATACACATTTCTATAGATGTTATACTACAATGATATTTCTATCGACATTATAGAAGATGACTTCTAATATTTCAGAAACTGAAAGAATGAATGCTTTGGAACATTGCTGGAAAACAGCAATTATCAAAACAGGGAGCATTCATTTGGATTTTGAATACTTCCTCAAGGTTACCAATTTTGCAAATAATGAATGTGTAGGCCACATTTAAATAGATATGGTATTACTTCCATAACTTGTTTGATAGGAAAGTGGTCTTCTGAAAATACATGTACATGTAATTACATATCCTGCACTAGGCTCTTGGTCTGAGTACAAATATTTTTATATACACCCATAGTTAATATTTAAAGACATTTTCATACAACAGTTTTATAATCTTGAGTATGGGAAATAATATTTATTGTTTTTTCTTTTTTTTGTTTTTTTGAGACAGGGTCTTGCTCTGCAGTTCAGGCTGGGCTTTAGCTCACTTTGTAGCCCAGGCTGGTCTCAGACATGCAGTGATCCTCCTGCCTCGGCCTCCCAAGTGCTGGGATTATAGGTGTGTGCCACCATGACTGGCTAATGTTTATTCTTATACATTATATAATTTCACTTGTGGCTTAATGTCAATACTATATGCATTTCAGTCATAAACATATTTCAAATATTCCGTTGACACATTCTAGATAACCAACATGTATCCACCTTTGGAGAAATTTTGTGAGATTAAAGAAATTTCAACATTGCTTTATTTGTGTAGTTGACTTGGTTCTAATATTTCTAAACTTTCATGAACATTCCTCTTGTGAAAGCAAATTACCTTAGATTTTTCTTGTAATTGTTATAGTCATCTTCAATTTGGTGGTCATCCCAATTTCTTCCTAAAGAGTTGAAAAATAAATAGAATGATAACTTAATACAGTACATGAAAAGTGTTAGATTCCATTTGATTCATTATATAATGTGACCATGCCTGGAAAATTCATCAAAATATTTCCTTATTCCAATTAGGCAACTGAACTGATGAACTCAGTTGTCTCATTGCATAAATGGGAAAATGATATCTTCCTTACCTATAGCAGCTGCATTCCTAAAGTTTTCCCACATCACATCTCTGTAGAGCTTCTTTTGGGATGGATCCAGTAAAGCCCACTCCTCCCTGGTGAAGGTCACAGCCACATCCTCAAAGGTCACTGCCTTCTATGTCATTAGAAATATATTTCCAGGAAGAAGAGTGAGACTCACAAAATGAAATATATTCACTCTACTCATAAAAAGCTGAAATAAGGCTGGGTTCTACAAATGTTTACTTCTGGCTTTAGTCATCAAATACTTATTCTCCATTCATAAGCACTTGTCACATAAGAATTTGGATGCTAGTGGAAAATTCATTGCTAAACAAACAGCAGAATGAGAATATTGGTTTTCTGCTGGCTTAATCCAGTTTTATTTCTGCACTGTCTCTAAAGTTAAAAGACAAACAAACAAACAAACAAATGTGTATATGAAAATCTAATGATTTGCTCTGACAAATCATAGAAAATATCTGTATTTTCAACTTATCATTTAGGAAAAAGAACCCTTCCTTCTCTGACTATATTTAAACAGCATTGTGAAAGTTGAAACTGGTTTCATAGACAAAACTTTAATTAAACACAAAGTAAAATTCATGAATGGTAAGTTAAAATGTTAATGAAAAACTACAGCTTTTTTTTGTGGAGAATATCACTGAAATTAGATTAAGGAAGACATTATCTTATAGTTCAATGACACAAAATACTCGGCACAGAGATAAAAATTTCTAAGGTGTAATCGAAATGGGATGTACTAACCAACTGAGTTTCCTGCCTCTAGCCACAGGTTAGTGCTGTGCACCCAGCTCAAAGAGGACATTAGGACTGACTAAGTGTGTCAGTGTCAGCCACACATTGTGACCCACATGCTTAGGCCAAGGAGAGACCCAGTACTGAACAACCAAGTTTGCAACCTATAGCTGCATGCTGGGGTCTTTGTGGTTACCCAGGTAGGATACCAAGACCCACTGATCCAGTATTGTATCAACAGCTGCTTATGGGATCTCTGTAGCATACAGCAACAGAGGTGACAACAGACACATGATTGAAGATAACAACACCCAGAGTAGAGTTTTGCTTAGGGACTGAAGTGTTACCCTACCACAGAGATGGGTCAGAGAAAACTTAGGAGCTAGGCTTGGAGAAAGGGAGTGCTAAAGAGGGATCTCTTAGTATCTCTTGGGAGGCCTGAGATCACACCAGTAGGATCACAGAGCCAGTATTTTAATGAGGGAGGCTAAGTTTCAAAGATGAAATCACTATGTACTAAACTAAATTCAAAATAGATCAATGATCTAAATATTAAAACAGGAACACTCATTCTGATGGGAGATAGAATAAAAATCTTGAAGACATTGATGTAAGTAAAGACTTTAAAATCAGATCCAATTTAAAGACCCAAATTTAAAAATCCAATCCAAAAATGGGCATCTGAGATGAAGAAATACAAACAATAAATAAGTGTATGAAAACATATTCAACATCACTGATGTACAAACAGTAAATAGGTGTATAAAAAATATTCAACATCATTGGTTATTTGAGCGATGCAAATTGAAACAACACTGAGCTTCCATCTCACCAGAAAGAATGGCTATTTATTAAGAAATCAACCAATAACAAATGCTGGTGGGGCAGTGGAGAAAAAGAACCCTTTTTCACTGTTGGTGGGCATGTAGACTGGTGCAACCATTGTGGAAATCAGTGTGGAGATTCCTCATAAAACTAGTATTGGAGGTCTCATTTGAACTAGCTATTTTCCTTCTGGGTATTGTCCCAGAAGAATTAAAAAAATCATACTACATAATATATATGCACCCATGCTTATAGCAGCACAATTTGTAATAGATAGACTTTGGAAACAAACCAAATGCCCATCAACTGAGAAATGGATTAAGAAGATGCAGTATTTTTATACAATGGAGTACTCCTCAGCCATAAAGAAGATAAACTTGTGATTTTTATAGGTAAATGGATGCAACTCAAGACCATACTAATAAGTGAAATAAATCAGATGCACATGTGTAAACATTGTATTGTCTCCCTGGTGTGAGAAGCTGAAAGAGTAAGTAAGATAAAAATATACAATATATATTGTAAAATGGCAAGAAATTTCACAAGGGAAGAGAAACTGTGATGGAGGAATGGAGAAAAGAAGGAATGGAAAAGCAAAAAAAATTATATTTTGATAGATATACTACTAATTTCTCTCAGTTCATTGAAAGGAAAGGTTTGTGCTAACATTGTTTGGACAATTAAATGCTGATAACTTCTATTCTGAGTAACTGATTTGATGATAACAATACACAATGTATTTATCATTGTTATCCTCCAATTATTTTGTTTTAAAACTGTACAATTTTTTCTTTAAAAAATAAAAAATAAAAAATAAAAAACCACAAATGTTGGTGTGGTTGTGAAAAAGAAATCCTCCTACACTTCTGATGTGACTGTAAAGTAGTACAACCACTATGGAAATTCCTTATACAACTAAACTTAGAAATTCCATATGACCAAGTGATTTCCCTTCTAGGTATCTTTCTGAAAGAGTTTACGACATCTTGCTACAGCTATACATCTGTACCAATATTTATAGCAGTACAGTTCATAATACTATATCCTGGAAGGGCTTGTATACCTATCAACAGAAAAAATAGATAAACAAAATGTAGCATCTATATAGAGTAGAACACTACTTATAAAGAAGCACAAATTTGAAACATTTGTAAGATAATAGATGGACCAGGAATGTATACTGAGAGATATAAATCAGACACATAAGCTTAAATACTATATAGTGTCTCTCATTTGAATAAGGGAAAGCAAAAGAAGGAGCAAAAAAATGGATGGATAGAAGAAAAAGAGGATAAATCTTGTGCCAAAGGGAAAGGGTCCAGGAGACCAAATATGAGCAAATGGGTAGAGGGAAAGTGAAATAAGTAGAATAAAGTTATACCAAATAAAATAACCTAATAACCTGAATGGATGTAAACATTATGTCATAAATCTGATATAAGATTAATATATCAACAAGAATGAAAATGGGGAAATAGGATTCGGGGAAGAAGGTAGGGAGACAGGAGGCAACAGGATTAAAAAAAGAACCAAGCTGTTTTATGAACATGTACACATTTCCCCAAGATTATTACAAAATGCATGTACTCCAAACACGTACTAGTAATAAAAAAGAAACTAGTCTTTGTATAGTAAAGATGAATATCATTCCTCAAATGGACACAGTTTTCTCTGAAATCACAAGAAATAGTCCCAACACAGACCATGTTCAGAGCAACAACAAAGGTCTTAATATTTCCAAAGAAGGGAAATTATGTAAGACTAACTCTCAAATCACACTGAAATGAAACTGGAAAGCAACAGTAAAGATGTACTTAGGAAATTAGTAGTAAGTAGATATTAAATCATGATTTTTACATGATAACTATTAAATGAAAGGCTAAATAATATATGATGTATTTCATTGATACTGGGAAAGATTTATGTGTAAGATATGGGAACAGGACCAAGAGAAGAAGAGAAAAGGACAGGAAGAAAATGGACTTAAAATGCATAAAGATGAGTTATATACATGTATCTGCTCCCCACAAGTAATGTAATCATGTGCTAAAAACATATACTAATAAAAATCTATATTGAAAAATATTAAAAAAACAACTTTGAGAAAATAAAAATGAATATATCTTGTTATCATTTCCAGGGATACCTCTGGAAAATTTAAACAATAAATGCATGCATTAAGAAAGAAAAAAGAACTCAACTTAATATTTAAATATTTCACTTTAGAAAACCAGAGAAGCAAGATAATACTACAAATCACTCAACAGATATTAGCATTGCTAATATTCACTTAGGATTATAGACCACAATGAAAATTATGAACTATATGTAAATTGACTTATTGAATAACTAATGTCACCCTTTACAATGTAAAATGTAGAAGCCAGTATCTTAATATCATATCAAAGAAACACAAGGAAGAAGGAAAACCTAAGTAAGATGGAATACATAAAACTGTCTTCACAGTCATATAGCATTATGTTATATGTTGAAAAATCAAAGAGCCAGCAAATAACTACTAGAATAAGATAGTGGTGCATAATATACATCATTAGCAGATTAAAAACCAAAAGTCTGTCAATTATATATCAATTATTAAGTATTGGAATAGAGATAGCAAACATTATACCATATGTTGCACAGAGGAAGCTAGAAAGAAACAACTTCATGTATGTTAAAACCATATATGAAAAATGCTCAGTTCTAGATGTAATCAATACACACAATACCATAAAGAATGATTTTTATCTTTAGATGGGTAAGTATAAATTAGATCATTCCAAGCGTTTGCAAATCATACAAAAACAAAGCACATATCTGTAAAACATCAGATAAAAAAATACACATGTTAAATTTTCTATATATTTTGGATTGTTCCATAATCTAAACATGAGTGATTTTGCTTATTCTTTCTAAGATTCTAATTTCTTATCACTTGGAGAATAAAGTCAACAAAACTATTTTTAACTAAATAAAACCTTAATAACTAGAAACAATCCATATCCAGAGGCAGTAAAATGAGTGAGTGAAGTTGCTGAAATACAAATTCTCTAAAATTGCATGGGCTATAGATTGAGGCAAAGAAACTGTAAGTAATTTCAATATAATAATAATAACAACAACAACAACAACAACAATAATGCTATGTTAAACTCAATCATTAATTCATTCAACACAGCAATGTGTTTAAGCCAAGTAAAATTATGTTAGTGTTGAGATGGTGAAACTGTAAAGAGGGTCCACAGAGTTCCATTCTCTGGTCACTTCTGAGGTTAGATTAACTCAGGCAAATAGACTGGCATTATCATTAATTTGTTTACCTGTACCACTGTTCTGTGGATTTAATTCATATTTAAGTTAAGTACAAAACAAGTATTTTACTCTTAAATTATGCTTTGCTTCTTTACATGTAATCATTCTCTTTGCTCAGTTCCCAAGAAAATCTCAATCTTATGGTTGTGAGGTAACTTTCATTTTATATAAACATCTTGCTTAATGAAGCAAGAGGAAAGCAGGAGTGTGGGGAGCAACTGAAGCTGGAGATCAATC